TTTATCATTGTGTTGCTCAGTGTTCTTAAGTCTTTCTTTTGTTTGTTTTTTCCTGGGTTTGTTTTTGAATGCTTTAAAATTGATCTCTCTAAATGCTTTTAAAAAGTAGGCCTTGGGTATGGTTAGCTGCTTTTATATGCCAATTAGCAATATGTTGTCTCTGCAAAAGGTGTCTTTCAACCAACTGTTAGAACTATCAGGAATCATTCATTTGTTGTAAATATTATATGTGCCACTGTATGTTGCAAGGTGGAAACGTCTACGAGTGATATTCATGACTTTGTAACTTCTACAAAATATGTAGCATTTTTTATTTTATTAATGTTAAATGTATCTGACTTAAAAGCTGTCAATTTACTTTTATTCTATAGTTTTGGATTACTAACTTTGAACTATCTCTTATAGAAAACTTTTCATGAAACTTAAATTTCATATAATTATCTACTTTATTTTCTAGAGTGTTTTTTTGGGGGGAATACTCAAAATAGTTGATTTTGGGGGGATGGCTTAGTTCTCACATACACATACAGCTCATACTACATATCATAATTAACACTTTAAAAACAAAAACCTATTAAAATGACAAGATTTCTGAGATTTGCCAAGCTCTGTTTTCAAAATCATCTTGTGAGATAGTGGTATGTATGAGTGTTTATATGTATAGGGCAGCTAGGTGGTGCAGTGGATAGAACACTAGGCCTAGAGTCCTGAGTTCAAATGCAACCTTAGATACTTACTAGCTGTGTGACCCTGGGTAAGTCATTTAACCCTGTTTGCCTCAGTTTCCTCATCTGTAAAATGAGCTAGAGGAGGAAATCAAAAACCACTCTAGCATTTTTGCCATGAAAACCCCAAATGTGGGGTTATGAAGAGTTGAACACAACTGAAATGACTCAACAGCATAAGTATAGAAAAGGAGACAGAGTGTGTGTGTGTGTGTGTGTGTGTGTGTATGTATGTGCATGTGTACTTAAGCATGTACAAATCTATAAATATATTTATACACACATACATATACAAACACACACTCACATATAATACACACTTATTAATAGTCACACACAAGTATACTGCCATATGTATAATTGCTCTCTGTCATTTACCCCTCTTATTATCTCAGTCAATAAACAGTATAATGATAGGTGAAAAATTCAAAGCTATTCATCTTTAATAAAATTTTAAGTCGATAAAATTGAATTTCACAGTGTCAGTTTGGGAAGGGATTCAAAGATTACCTGTCTAGTTCAACATCTCTGTACAGGAACCCCTTCTATAGCATCACCAAAAAGTGATGATTCAGCCCCTGCCCAAAGACCTCTGGTAAGGTGGGGAACCTGCCTTGGTAGGTGCCATTCCACTTTTGGATACCTCTAAGCATTAGGAACCTTTTCTATCATAGGCCCAAATCTTCCTGTCTGCTGCAGCAGGGGTGGGGAACCTGTAGCCTTAAGGGCCACATGGGACTTTGAGGCTGCAGATTCCCACTCCTGATATTCTGCACAAACGTATACGTACCCCCATGGGAGTATATGTACACTGCATAAACAGTGATACCTGGGGTTTCAAATTTAAATGATAATATACTCATAGAATGGATGGCATGGCAGGAATCCTTAGAGGGAGAACTTCTAAGCCAATCTTTTCATTTTATATCAAGAATCTGGTTATTCAGGTAATTAGAAGCAGAGTTGGGAGTAGAACCTAGGTCACAGGGTTCCCAATATGGTGCTCTTTTCACTCTGTCACATGGCTTCCTTTGGTTAAAAAACCCCAAAAAACTAGGTTTTGGAGTAGCAGGAGTGATAAGTTCAGTTTGAGAACCCTTGAGAAGCCTTGGTTGAAAGAGTCTAGGACCTGGAGTCAAGAAGGTAAGAGCTGGAATCTCACTTTTTACACACTCTAGCATTGGATTATGGGCAAAGTACTTTAATATTTCAGAGCTTCAATTTCCTCATCTGTAAAATGGGCATAACAGTTCCTCTTCTGGAATCATACAATTAAAGAGCTAGCAAGAGAAAGGACTTAATGGGCTAGTTATTCTAAGCCTCTCATTTTGTTGACTAGAAAACTGAGACTCAGAAAGATTAAGTGATTTGCTTGAGGTCTCAGAATCCTTGGCTGAACCGGAATTTAGGTCCTATGACATCTAGTTAAGGATTCTTTGAGGGTCAAATGAGCAAATGCTATATAAATGTCTGTTAATAATAATAATTTAGCTTTAATTTTGCAATGCTTGTTAACTGTTTGTGGATTATGATGAAAGGACGTTCAAGGGCAAATATTTATCAGTCATTTGAGAATGTGAGATTAGAGATTACACTTAGGTCTGCAGATCAGAGAGAGGTGAAAGTTCTCTGAAGGTAGAAGTCTTCAGGAAGAAAACTGATGTTGCAGTCAGAGGAAGGAACTGAAAATAGTAGAATGCCTTTGGAAGCTGGGGAAGTGAGCTCTTTATTTAAGGAAGGTGTTAGTGTTTGGATTCAGCGAAATCAAAAGAGGTTTAGGACTGAGAAAAGGTCATCAGATTTGGAAGTTAGGAAGTAGTCTGTGATATAGGATAGTTATACATTGATTAGTGAGGGGGGGTTTGCAGAGGATTAAGAAGGAATTGAGTGATAGGCAGTGGATATAGAATAGACTGTTTTTTTTTCCCCCAGAAGTTTGGCGGTCAAAAGGAGAGAAATAGGGTGCTGGAAGGTAGAAAAGGCACAACCGGACTTTATTTCAGGATACAGGAATGCTGCTTTAAGTCTTTACTAAAGTAGATCAGTTATAAATTTTGAATAAAATAAATGTTTGGGAAACTGGGGAAAGGGAGGAGAGAATGAATGAAGCAGTGGTACATTCAGTAGGAAGAGCAAGGGATAGGATCCAAATGCACAGGTCAAGTTATTGGATAGCCTTCCAGCAGAGACTACTATTCTGAAGTGGAAAGGTGGGAAGAAGAGTGAATCTCAGGAGATATCTCCTGGCCTTGGATAGATTAGAGATATCTTTTCAGATTTTTTAGGAGTTCATAGCTGCATGGAAAGATGAGATTATTTCCTACCCTTGACACATGGGAAAAATGTGAAGCACTCTGAGGATATGATGAATTTTTGCTATATTTTTACTTTTCAAGCAAATGGAAGGCAACCATATGGATATTCAACTGAAGATAGGTTTTGACAGAAATGTTCCATAACAGACTTAATTTTAGGACTCATTCTGTAGAAAAATATCTATATTAGTGCATTTTGAAGTACATATATTTTGAAAATATAATTGTTTGCTGCTTAAGACTTTTAGCCCTTTTCTATATGAAATAAAATAATTGACACAATTATAGATAATTTGGACTAAATATTTAGTTAGTTGAAATACCCACTTACTTACCCTAAAAGCAAGTTGGGGAATGGTGGTGGAAAAGAGTAATGAGGGATTTAAGTATCTGGGTAATTGCCTTATTTCTTTTAAGTGAATGTATCCTTTAAAGTAGTTCCCCTTAATTTTTTATTGTAGTGCCTTATATTCAAATACCCAACAAACATCTGAGAAGTCATAGGAGGAAATAATTGATGTTATACTTTGATGTTTATGGTCAAAAGTAGTACAGAATAGAAAATGGAAAGAGACAAAAATGTCTTAGTGAGGAGAGAATTGCATTTTGGGATTTTTATGGTGGATAGGGAGAAAAGGAAGCATTTTTCTCAAAACTCTTCAGCTTTTTGGCTCAATCTAAAAAAGAACATTTAAAGACATTTCTTACCAGAACAGGTTCTTACCAGAATTGGTTCTTTGTAACCTATTTTATAAAGCCATGTTTGGGAGGAGAAAATAATAGTAGAGTCTTTTTGACTATTATATGCCAGATATGAAAAGTGGCTTATTTTAAAAAGGAATAACTGATTTTTCACCTGCTTAAAAAGTTAATCTGAAAACTACTAAACACTTGCTCACAGAATATTGTTCAGTAAGTTTTTAAGTTGAATGGATCCATGTCGAGAGAGATATTTAACATAACATCCTCCTACCTCTTCCTTTTATTTTTTTGTCCCCCTCTTTCCCATTCAGTAGCAACAACAAACCGTCCACCCCACAATGGTTAGTATTGCAGAGCTTGATGCGGCCTTGGTTGAGGTCAAGCACTCCAATTCGAACCTCTCAAGGGCTTTCTCTATGTATTGCCAGTGTACTGGTAAAAATGACTTTAGACTCTTGTCAGCGCAGTTACTGGTGCGTGCATCACAGTCCCACTCAAATAAACCTGTCACAACACAGAGTCAGCAGCTAGAGACGAGTACAAGGGCAGGCCTCTCGCTTTTCATTCGAGCATCACTAAACGTGCACAGAGTGCCCAATTATTTCAGCATTATTGAGCAAGCCTACAGGAGGACCCAAGCCTTGCTACATTAGATTTTCTTTAGTAATTTGCTCAAGTACCGCTGAGGACACTTAAAGGGCTTAAAACGGTTGCTGCAACCAGTTTCCTTTTCTGGGTTGTTAATTCAGGTTTTCTCTTTCAAATTAACTCTCACTGCATGCTGTGCAGTGGTTCTGGGAGAACTGTTTAACACTAATTTTCTCAATTTTCAGCTTTTTTTTTGTTCAACATAACTGCTTTAATAGTTACTCACGTATGTGTTTTGATTAGAAATGTATGATACCAAGGTTTTGTTTTTAAGTATAAAATGTAAACGCTTTGTGAAAGAAATCTCTCCGAACTTAGGTTGCTATAAACAGTTAATTCCTGTTTAAAAAGAAAATCTAATTATGCCCTACAAGATCATGTGTGTGTGACACCCTAAACCTATGTATGATAGTGTTGACTATTCTTCCTCTGTCTCTAATTTTTGTACAGATGGGTTTTTAGAGATTTTATCAGTAAGTTGCCCCTTCATCCTAGGTGCTTTGTTTGGGCCTGTTCCTTTTCTCCTTCTTCTCAACTCCCTTCTTCCCTCCCATCCCCGCCCTTGCCAACTTTTGGAACAAGTTCAATATCTATGTTTAATTTCTCACAGCAGCAACAACTCCAGGCCCAGCATTTATCACATGGACATGGTCTGCCGGTGCCTCTCACTCCACACCCATCAGGCCTTCAACCACCTGCCATCCCACCAATTGGTAGCAGTGCTGGCCTCCTGGCTCTCTCCAGCGCACTGGGCGGGCAGTCTCATCTTCCAATTAAAGATGAAAAGAAGCACCATGACAACGATCACCAAAGAGGTGAGAAATCCTGTAGGAATGTCAAGCTTAGTTATCATGATGCTAGGTATAGGTTTTGCATGCCAGTATTTACTCTGTTATTGAGTTAGATCATATCCCAAACAAGGAAATAATAGCCCATTGTTGGGAGGTACACTAACAAGATGGCACCTTTGTGCTCTGAAAGAGTGAATCCATCCTTCCTTGGCAAGGAATTCATTTTCTTTTAATTAATGGTAATCTGATATTAATGATTTATTAGTTTTACTAGTTGTATGATCCTGGGGCAAGTCAATTAACCCCTTAGTGTCCTAGGCAACTCTTAAAACTACGAAGTGAGTTGTTTACATCAGTAATTCACCTCTTATACATGAGTGGCTGATATGCCTTGGAGGAGTAAGCCTCATATAGAGTTCTCTTCACTGATGAAAACTCAGGCAGAGAACCCCCCATCACATTGCCCCATGGAAAAAAAGTCACCAAAGCATTAATTATACTATGCTAGATTTTTTTAAACCTTCAGTGAAAATAGACTATAATTAGTAGACATTTTTAATAGCAATTTGTATTTGCAGCATGCTTTATAATCATTTTTATTAGTTAATGGCAGGAAGATAGATGGAAGTCTCCTTGGTAACATCCCACAGATGTCTAATTGTGGGAGTTTACTTCACTAGCACTGTGGCTCTCTTGATTAAAAAAAAAAAGTGTATCTTGTAATCAAAAGCTCATACTATCTGGACTTGGTCCTGAAGCAGCATGGCTTAGTGGATAGATTGCTGGACTTGAAGTCAGGTGGACCTGGGTTCAAACAGACATTTACTACCTGTGTGATTTGTGGGCCGAGTCACTTCATTTCTCTCAGAGCCTTAGTTTCCTCATCTATAAAACGGGGATGATAATACTTGTACTGTTTACCTTATGATGTTGTTGTGACTGAGGTTTTTGGAAAAAAGTTAAGAGTGTTACAAAAATGTGAGTTGTTGCTTTTATGTTTGTCTTTTAGTGTGAATGCTAACCTTGGGTAAAAGATTTTCTTCACTCCAAGCTTGTTTCCTAGTTCTAAAGCTGAAAATTTTTATCTGCCTACCTTAATGATATGGTCACAGCAGAAGGATTATGAACCATTTTATAAGTAGAAAGTTTTGTGGCAATATCAAGTAATACTAATATCTAATTTTAGTTATTCTGAAAAAGTAAGGAAGGTTGACTTAGGCTTTATAAATGGTTGAGCAATATTAATTATTAACTTCACAGCAAGTTAACATCTCTGTGATTTATTATTTAACAGAGATCAAGTGTGATAAATGTATGATTTTGTGTAAACTAACAAGTACGTTTCTTTTTTTCCTTCTTCCCACCATTTCCTCTGTTCCGGTGGATGCGATTTTGCCCATAGACAGAGACTCCATAAAGGTAAGACTTCATTTCCTAGGAGGAATAAATTTATTTAACAGTATCCCAAATGTTTTTTGTTATAGCTGAAATCGAGGTCAATGTAGGAAGAGCCTTGAATTGAGTTTAGCTTAACTATATTAAAATAAATTTGAGGAAAAACCTCATCTTAGTAATTTTGATAGCTTCATTAATTTTTTTTTATTTTAATGAGAGAATCTTTTAAGTTTGGAGAATATTTTGGAAGTTGATAATACTTTTTAAAAAACTGAGTCATTGGAGTAATTTAGGGTTTGGTGGCTGAGATTTGTGAGTTTGTTCATTTCTCTATCAAGACAAATTTGTCAAATAGGACATAGGAATATATACTGCATCAGGAGGGCTGTATTCTGTCCCTTTTTATGATGTTAGCTTGCAGTGAGAAAGTTGAATAGCAGAACCCTTGATTTAGAGAGTATCTATAAATGAATAAAAATAATATGATAAAGTAATTAGTACATATGGAAATACACATTATTTTCATAATGTGGGAACTAGTTTGATTTGGAAAAAAAATTCTCTCCTTTGTTATAGAAGTTTTCTATACAAAAACCTCATGACTGCCTCTCAGAGAGTTATTGTGGGCAGAGTCTGAGGCATTTAATCCAAGAGGATCTTTGTAGACAAAGCATAGAACAGGAAAGATATATGTTGGGCTTTCCTTATTTGGGGGGAATGTTTCCCTTTAGTATCTTAAGAGGATATTCTGAGAATTGTTTAAATCTTTTACACATACACACACACACACACCACACACACACACACACACACACACACACACACACACCCAGCTAGCATAGGATGTCAGCAAAATGTGAAAACTGGGACTTGATGAAGATCAACACGAGGAGGAAAGAATCTTTCTTTTCTGAGTATTTGTCATGATACAGATATTGTCACTTGACTTGTACATACCTTCTCTGTGCCTTCCTTCCCTCCATCCCTGAAACAGTTTAAGGTTTCAGAGCAATCTTCATGAGAAATATGATATTCTACTCTGACAACCCATTACGTACACTTTGAACCCCAATTTAATGCTTGCCCTTTTCTCTTGAAAAAGAAATTCAGTTTTTTCCCAAGTCTTCAAACAATGTAAAAAAAAAGTTGACTATAAACAATTTTAACCTTGTAAAAACATTTGTAATTTAAATATTCATTTACATACCTATCTAAATGTCATAATTTATCATCAGACACACAGTTCATGTGACGAATTCTTCAGGTATAGCTTTTTATGGTATGTTGTATAGACTCTTGTCTTTGTATAAACAAATGGTTCTGAGTACATTGTAGATACCGTGTGCTAAATGCTTTTTCATTGATTTTAAAACCAAGATTCTGGATAGTTTTGACCAAAATATGTAAAATACAGCATACTGGTGGGCTTATCAAATTTGTAGCTACAGAATCAGGATAAACCAAAAAAGATCCTGAAAAAAAATTTCTGTCTGATTATTCTGAAATTATAGTGAAAACCTACCCTGTTTTCATATGATAAATATATACCCTTTAGGCAGGTTAGTGAACTAAGCACCACTCTTATCCTACCCCACTCCCAGTAGGCCTTAGAAATGGCTCTACTCCAATGCACATATTATGTGTCAATTACATTTTATATTTCCTCCAAGAGGAGTAGGGGCTATTTTGAAATCATCTGTAATCATTTGGGGGTGAGACTGGGAGTGAGTATCTCGGTAGCCAGAGGCAAGGGAAAAAAAAGGAAAGAAAGGTATGAAGATTTTGTACTGATTTATTACAGAATGATAGTTATGAATAGATTTTTTTTTTTACCCTGTTATCAAATCCTGAGTTGGATTGTGTCAGCATTTAGGGCTAGCTGCCAGCTTTGCAAGGTGAAATAGTTTGCTAATTTCCTTAAATGTTTTCAGTGATGCCCAGGGTAGCAGTTAGTCACTTGTACTATCGATCTGTCCTCCCTTAAGTGGCTCCTGGTTAAGAGGGGCTTTTTATGATTGTCTGCAGTGTGACTTGAGATGGTTTTTATCAGCCAGAACGTGCCAGTTGCCAGCAGCTGGAGTCTGTGTGCTTGTATGAAATAATTTATTCATGCAGGATAATGCTCCTTAACATTTAACAGGTAATGAACGTGACATAAATTTCCTTCTTGCTTTTAATTTTTCCCTTTCCTCTTCTAATGTGCAAACAGGCAGCTCTGGTACTCTAAATAATAAGTAATTTTTGGCCATCTGTCAAAAGGAAATTTCAATACAAATTTAAATTAATGGTGCCTGAAATTTTTTATAGCTCCTCTAAAAGCCTCTAATGTGCAGAAAATTCTGAATCTGCTGGTAGTAATTAGTGTAGCATGTAATGAGGATGTGGGCAATGTTATATAGTCCCAGTGTAACATTTTGATATGGTAGCAAAATTTTGATTTATATAAGGTTGTGGATGGGTTTAATTGTGAGAGACATTTTAAAGTGTTTTCTTGACGACACAGATTATTAAACAGGGCAGATTTCAGAATAGCTCATAAAATGTAAATGTAGACATACTGTAAAATTCAGGTAATTAAGGTGCTTTTCCTAGTGGTGTGAAGTAAAAAAAAAGAAAAGAAATTTACTTGCATTCTAGTTATAATGGTTTTTTTTCCTTATGGAAATTATGTAGTTACTAAACCAAATATGATTGGTCGTGTGTGTTGGCCAGTTACTTTTTATCAATCTCTCTTTTGTCTAGCTGTCCTACCCCGTTTCTTACCTTGACTTACCTAGTCCTTAAAGCCCCCTTGAATTCAGGAAGGGTGTTGCACCTTAAGTTTGATCCCCAGGATAGGGCATGCTCACAGGAACCTAGCTCTAGGAGCACTACTGTGGGGGCATGGGAATAATTTTGAAGGGCTATAAGAAACAAAAGTGTTCAGTGGGGTGAGGGTTTGGGGTGGAGAGAGTTAGAACAAGGGTTCATTGCACCATTCTTTGTCACTGTGTGTGAAGGGGCCCCCTTATGACCAGGATTTAACCACTTGTTCTGAGACAGAAGCTGTCCATCAGGCTAGGTCAGGGGTGGGGAACCTGTGGCCTCAAGGACACATGTGGCCCTCTAGGTCCTTAAGTGAGGCACTTTGACTGAATCCAAATTTCACAGAACAAATCCCCTTAACAAAAGGATTTGTTCTGTAAAACTTGGACCCAGTCAAAAGGCTGCATCCAAGGACCTAGAAGGCCACATGTGGACCCCTAGTGTGTGCCCTGCCCCTACCCCCCCAAAAAAAATAGATTAAAAGAAACTACTTTGTGGTTCTTACAGCTGTAAACTACCTCAGAGAGCCTGAATTCCTACCCCTTGAGTGTATGGAACCTCATTGGTCCTTACCAGAGTGTAGGGATTAGGACAGGTTCCTTCCAAAGAGGCTGAGGCAAAAATAGTTTTGGAAATGATGAGGGAAGTACGTGCTGTCTTCTCTCCCTCCCTCCTGTCCTGTTTTTGCACTTGTCATTTTCCACGGCGCTAGAGAAATGAGGACAGGGCAGGACCAAGAGCCCCCAGTTTCTACAAGGCGATCATCTCACAAAGTAGTGTTGAACAAAGGTATAGAAATGTCACTCTGATATCTTCGTGCAAAAAAGATGCTTGAAAGACAGCGAGGATCATTTGTTTTTTGTTACTTTGGTAACAATTTTGGAACATGAGATAAAACTTTTTCTCATAGCTGACACAGTCAAGAGCCGAGAATGGAGATAAAAAGGCACACAAATCAAGAGCATCCATCAAAGACAGTAAGACAGACTATTGTCAGGGACACAAGCGGTTATTGTTAGGGGCACATAACCCCTCAGCGTGGAATGTGTACTGCATGAAAATTACTTTTACCTTTACTCTCTTCTGGATAGTGTGGCTTCTAAAATGATACTGAAGTCATCTAGCTGATTTTGAGGGTGGGGAAATGTCCAGGAGTTTTCCTCCTAGACAATTATTGAGAAATAACAGAAAACAAAATTTCTTTGGGAAAGCATATATCCATGATAATAGCTTCAGAACCTTCGAGAGACATTCTTACCTCCTAAGTGGAAGTTGCTCAGGCATTTTCTGTCACATCTGACTCTTTGTAACATCATTTGGGGTTATCTTGGCAAATATACTGGAGTGGCTTGCCATTTCCTTCTCCAGCTCATTATACAGATGAGGAAACTGAGGCAAACAGGGTTAAGTGACTTGCCCAGGGTCATTCTGCTAAGTCAGAGGGCAGATTTGAAACCAGGAAGATGAGTCTTCCTGACTCCAGGGCAGGCATTATAAAAGATGGGATCATAAAAGAAATCTAGCTGGGAAATCTATTCCATAAGTAAAGTCTGTATAATTTCAGAAAAAAAAAAACAAATGAGGAATAGCCACAGAGGTTGAACTATTACAATGTCACAGAAACTCTGAAGTAGGATTTTAGGGTTGCATAGGATGTTAGTCACTGTCCTAATTTCATAGATAAACTGAGACCCAGATAGGTACAGTGACTTTGGAAATATATGACCTGTGATGTGTTTGCTGAGTACTGTGCTAACAGCATTCATATAAAAAATACCTTAATATTCTCTGAAATCCTCCTCTTTTTTTTTTTTAAAGTTGGGTGGAGGACATCTACCAGTTGTGTGTATGTTAATATATAGAATGTTAATATTTGGAATCTTTCATGATGATTAAAATTTAGGCTTTTAAAAAAGTGATTACTTTTCACTCAAACTAAAGCTTGAGCCAGGGTTTTGGACACCAGTGCTAAACTTGCCTCTGAGGAATTTTTGCATTTACTGTATATAGATTACTAAGACAAGAAAAGATTGTTTTCTTTCCTCCCTGGCTTTCCAGGTTGAGCTCTTAGAAGATTTAGATTTATCCTGGAGGACAGGAAGAAAACTGTTTACATACAAATTGAAGTATATGCTGTAGTCCATATTTACCTGTAGTCTATCTACTTGCTACTTCAAGTGATGTTGGAATTTTAATTTGGGTTAACAGGAAAATTGCTT